GGTTATAGGCAGCATCTCATGCTGGTCCATTTTGTGCACGACTGCCCTGAACTGCCAAACAGTTTTAAGGAATTTGCTGTCTCCACTCAACACAATTTCAGGTTAAGGAACCAGAAGTGCTGTAGATAAATGAGTGATGCCTGCAGAGCAAAGAAAAGACTTGGAGCCCTTCCTCTACGGGCCTCCATCTTTCCCAAGAAACTCACATAAATCCATTGTCTATGCTCAAGCAAGGCAGATCTTTCTCCCACACGCTTAAATGAATGAGTTGATAATTTCAAGCCATGTGGGTTTCTCCCCAGTACAATTTAAAGCAGGGACAGCCCTGCTGCTGGTAGCGTGAAGGTAGTAGTGAAAGCTTATAAACTGACAGCTATAAATACCTGGTCTGTGGCCCACTCCAGCTGCAGTAAACACACACTACATGCATCAAGGCTTCTGATGTTCTGTTTGGATTAGGAAACAAATACAGCAAATTTGCATTAACATTCAAAGCACACACAACATGCATGGTTATAGCCCTGCAATTTCTCATCTTCCTCCCACAGCTGTCTGCAAAGAGCACCCTGGGCAGCAGGAGCTCTTCCCATTCACAAAAAAGGCATCCCTGCTTGCCACTGTTGTGTCTGGAAAATTCATCAAGTTCAATTTATCACATCAAAAAAATCTCTCTGTAAAAGGACAACTTAAACACTGTTTAACATTGTTTTGTATTATTTGCACTTTCAAAGTGCTCCGGGGGTGATACTACACACTTCATAAAATACATGTGGCAAAAGGCACACATCTAGCTCCATACTAGTCTGTCCTCCATACTGAAGGCAACAAACAGGAGCCGCGTTACAGGGACACCAGAGTCCCCCAGTCCTCCCAGCAACTAGTGCCTTGTCCTGTGACACTGTATGCAGGAAACCACAAGCAGACTTCAGCTTGCTGCAAACAGAAGGAAAAAGAGCCTGGGGTGAAAGATGTCAGAGACATCCCCAAAAGAAATTGCTGCTTAAGAGTAGAGCAAGCAAAGCAACAGCCAGAAGTCAAACAGAACTCATCGTCTCCTTCTCTGCATGGAGAACAGATGAATTACAGATCTTTGTCAATAGCACCAAACACTGGTTATCAGCAAAACCTAAGGGAATTTATCTTGCTAGTAAGTCTATACAGATATATCAGGTCTCATGCTTTCACTAAAACACTAGTATGGCCTTTGCTGCAATAGCACATACTCTTTTATTAAAATATGTAGGATTTACTTTGGCCAAAGATTTGCTATCCAATTCTTTGCCTTGTAGGATTTGTTTTACCACTTCCCTCCCTTTTCTTGTAGGCCTCAGTGGTCTTAAAAATATAGTAGTTTTTCTACCTTAAGTCTTACTACTCTAAATTTTATTTTTTATTTTTAAAACAGATATACAGGCTTACTGGGAAGAGCTGACTAACCGTGCTCGTACGTACAGCTAGATTTGTCTGTGTTCAATATCCTGGAAGGAATCTGCCTTTCCGCCTCAGGTATTTGTTTCTTTTATTCTTCATTAGATAAAGATGGTGCATTACACGCTGCAATACAGCATCTCTGACAGATACCCTTTGGTGTAAAATAAAGTAGCAGATGCACGAAGTCATCCATCCGTTCTACTGGCTGTACATCTTGTTTTATGCCACTATAACAACTTGACAAAATTTGAGTATTAAAAAGCCAGAATCATCCTGCACATTTCCAGACCAATCATCTTCCACAAGGGTGGCAAGAAGGCTTCAGACACAGGATACAAATGAAAATTGGAGGTTTCTTTTTCCTCTTTGTACACAGTGATATTATGTTCATGCTCTCTGCTGCAAAACCAACCCTTTAGAGGGAGCAGACTTGTCCTTTCCTTCACTGGCTCTGTAATAAGGGTCTAATCAGTCAAATATGTCAAAGGATGATAGTCATTTAGACAGCAGAAGTAGCTGATACTGTCAAGTGCTCCTCAGCATGATCCTCATTGTCATCCTTCTCACAGGGTAGCTATGGGTGCCAAATCCTGGCCTTGTCAAGGAAATCAATCCAGCTAATACTGGGAGCAAACTCTTCTCTGCAAAGGGCACTGGTGGGGATAAATTCCTCCCTACACTAGGAAAAATACTTGAGTTACAAATAGGTGCAGTGCCCTTTCTAGACTAAAAAAAAAAAAAAAAAACCCCCCACACGTGGGGGGTAGGTTGCTTGGAAATGCTTCCTGCCACACCAGCTTCAGTGTTTTTTCCTGTCATTTTTAGGAGTTTTTCCACCATCACTGAGCTGTTACCAGTCTGGGGGAGGCGAGGGGGAAACCAAACATTTGCATATTGGTTGCTTTAAGGAAAAAAAAAATCTCAAACTTGAGGCAAACGTGGAAGCTCTAGTAGATCACAGTATTGGGCAGAATGCTCTTGCTGGACACAGTAAAACATACGGGGACACCTCCACCTCAGCTGCTTTTTGCTTAGGCATCAAAACACCCACAGGCCAGCTGACAAAACCCATGAGCCAGGCTAAAGGGGGCTGCAGTGACTGAATAAGGCTCAACAATATGTAATCCAGGCGCACTCAAAGGAGAACTTTAATAGCCTAGTGATGTACACAATTATTTCTGTTGTACCATCTATGAGAAAGCAGCAAAAATTCAAGCTGTTATAAAAGAACACAGGTCTTGTGGGGAGCCGAGTCTCTTGGCGCTGCACTATATCCACTCTCTGTTTCTGCCTCTGTTCTTGTTTCCTGTTCTTTGACTTGGTTTTCTTGGTGCCATCTAGCAGCAACTAAGAGTTTTGGAAGAGAGGAAGAGGGCATATATGTTAATACTTGGACATTTTAAGATACAGCTAACAACTATCTGTGCGCAAGAGGCTTGTGATGTATTTTAGGATTTATATAGAGTCAACCTAAGCAAGCTCCACCCTCATCTTGTTCATTTGTGTTTGAGAAGCACTCAGTGAAAACACAAAATGCTTTTTCTAGTCTAAGACTGGAATCTTTCACATTCCTTTAGGGCTCAGTATCAACAGACTGCTATTAGTAGACTGCTGATTAGCCTTAGAAGCCACATGGCCTTTCCAACTGCACTGGTACATAAGCAGCTTTGATTTCAATCATTTTAGGTTTTTTTTGTTTGTTTCTTTTGTTTTGTTTGTTTGTTTTTAATTACTTTAAAGAACTTGACTCAAATTCTCCAATGGTAAAGACCCACATATTTCAGATTAGGATTTTTCAGATTTGGTTTTTATTCAACCCTTTCAGATGACAACCAAATCCAACCATGGTGTCCAAAGATGATCTTAAATGTCAAGATATTGCCAGGGCAGGGTGGGGGAGAAAGAAGTCAGCCTTGTCTACATCAAGCTCAGAATTGAATGGGAGAGCTAGTCTACATTTTTCTGTTGCAGGTTACATGGAACTAGCTCAAGTAACCAAGCCTGACCCTTAGGTATATCAAAAGCTGACAGCAGCAAGGCTAAAGCTGTTTTACACTGTTTCTGTATTTACTGCAGCTTGACTTAAAGAGCCTTCAAATTTGACCTCAAAAGTCAAATGTGCAATGAGTCATTGAACTGCTTCCTTAGAGACAGGCCTTCTTCTGGAGGTGTCTGCAGCCCTGGAAATCTTGGTCTTAAGAGCGGAAGAAAAAAGTCAAAGGCACAAATGGGCACAGTTTCATCCCTTCCTTAAAGTAAGCGGCTGTAAATTTTTGGACTATAGACAGCAAGTATTAAAGAAAAAATTAAGTGCATTATAAAAGCAAATCTGAGCAAATCTTCAGTTTTAAATATGGACAAGTGCTTTCACTAGTGTCTGAAAAGATAGCAATAAAAATAAGAAAAACTGTCAGCTTACATACAACCCAGCAAAGACTTTTGGGTTTGCTGTGGGAAAAAGCATCTTACTGCATGCTTTCAAAGAAAAAGGTAGGAGAAAAACTCCAAACTCAGTTTCCCTTTGAAACCTTTCCCTTTTGAAAGTATTATCTTTTTGTCAGTTTTGAAGGAGGCCTAAGGAGCACATTTTGAGAGCTATTCACCATTCCACTGAAAGAATGGAAAATACAAAAGTGACAATTTCCTTTAATCAGAAGTATATGAAGAAGAGTTAAAAAGAAAATCCACAGCTTGGTTAATAGCTCAGCTTTCAGCTATTTGAGATCTCCACTTAACTAAACTGCTATGTAGCCTATGGCTTCTGGAGGCACAAGGGACAAAACTGAGGGGGAAAATTCTTTTTGTAGAGTGCCTATACCAAGCGGATGGCGTGCATGAAGATGTGAATTCAGCTGCCTCTACTGAATGAATAGGAAATAAGCTATTTAGAGCAAAAGTAATCTTCAATAAAAGCAGCAATTTATCTTCCAGGGGCACAAGCACATTCTTTGGAGAATGCTAAAGAAAATGCTGAAACAGGAATGCTTTGAAAAAGTCTCATGAACTCATATTGTCCCAGAGCAAATAAGTGGGCAAGTAAACACATTTTACAGAATTGCATAGCTCTTAAGCAACTGGCTACAGAGGTGCCTTCAGATCACTGTGCATGGAAAGCCAAAATAGCTGCCAAAAATGGGTATTTACTTATCCACCAGAGATTTGTACTTGTTCTTAAGGCTCCCATGTTTTTATATGCTGGAGCTGCTAAGAACAAGATCACAGAAGTTGCCACAATGCTGTACTTCTGCGACTACTAAAATATCACCTAGCTGACTCACATCCCTGGCTAAGCACTACAATTTGAACCAGGTGAACAGGCACCAGAGGCATTAACTTGTGCCCACATCTTCAAAGACCAAGAGACCAGAGGTAGTAGGAAGTTGCAGAGAGCACAAATGAAACAGCAAGCACCCCCAAATGCCTTCATGCTGACAGATGCTGCTATGCTGCAGGACAGAGAGGTGCAATTAGAGGCCGTGAGCAAGAAAGCACCATTCCCTCCACTATTTACTCACTGACACTGCATTAGATTACATTAGGTTACATCCACAGAAGCCAAGGGGCTTCCCAGTGACTGCTAACAGACATCCTGACACAGAGCAAAAAAACTGGCAAGCATCATTCCAGCGGGGTTCCCCGGGGTACCTGCTTCCTCTACAGACTTCTGTATTGCTTCTGCCAGCTCTTGGTCAGCAATCTCCTCCGATCGCATGTCCTCCCGCCCAGCTCCGTAAGCCAGCCGCGCGCATTCCGGGAGCTCGCCCTCCGGGAGGAACGTGGTCTGCGAGCCAGTGGTGCCGATCACCAGCACGTTCTTCTTGAGATCAATGGAGCACTAGGGGAGAGCACCAAGACACAAGGGCTACGTAAGAACCAGCTGATTGCAAAAGAAAAAGGAAAAACAGCAGGTTAAACAATTTACTTCCAATAGGAACAGCTCACAGACACGAAAACAAGGGTAGGCCAAGAGCTTCAGCTGTAGGCAAGGGCCCACGGATGCCTTCATTTATAACAAGTCATTCTGTTTCAAAGCTTTGAGCATCTCTGTTCAGAGCAAAAAAAAACTTCAGGAAGCAGCCAGACACCATACAGGCCCGTGGACATACATCATGGCTACATCTTCCACAACTGACTGGAAGATAACCCACCGCTCTCACTCTAAAAATTCTAGGAAGTTTAAATGTGGCATAAATGCCATTCCTGCAGTGATTGACATGGAAGAACGAGGAACTGCTTCAAAACGGCTTGTTACTACCTGATGTCTCTTAAGCATATCCAGTCCTAGAAGCATGTCCATTGGCTGCTCTTCAAGGATGGAGAAGGAACATGCCAGGAAATCCCCTTCAATCTGAACCTGAGCTGAAAGGCAAGGAAGATAAGTTACCACCCCACAGGCTAACACTTTTCATGCCAAATCAAAATCTGCAGGAGCTCAAAACTCCCCTCAGCTAAAGGGTTAAGATAATAAAGGGCTAAGAAAAGCACTAAACTGAACAGAAGCCAGATTACTGTGCCCGAGTCAAATGAACATATATCCAATGTAATTTTATTTTGCTCTGGGGGAGTTTATTATTCATAGTATCAAATTAGAGGCTATCAAAATGGCATTAAAGCTGCCCCAAGAAGCAGGTCTGTGCTTACCTAAGTGCACTCTGCCAATGATCTTCTGTGTCCCCACACCCTTCGCAATGCCAGCCCACCGCCGATCTACCAGCCTCATGATGTTGCACCTTTCAGCACAAGATTGGCTCATAATGGTCATCTGGGCACCTATCAACAAGAGAATTTAGAGTTACGAATCCCCCTGCTCTTAATTTATGCCATGTGTATGCCCAGAGACAAGCACGGACAGTAAAGTATATATTGCTGTTGAGCTGGAATAACCCAAGTGCTTTCCCTTTAAAGTTGTGGATGGAAAGAACAGCTCTAAGGGCAAGCAAAAATCATCTGCAAATTGAAGGCACACATTTGGCAGGGACCTTTCTAGCACTGCAAGCAGCAGATACCAGAAATTTCAACCAAAGCCTTGATCCCCGGGGTTCAATCACTCATCTGCAGTGCTTCCCAAAGCATCTCAACAATTGGCTCTGCCTTTCAAAACATGCAGAATGCTCTCAGATTTTAATTAGATGCTTTAGAAGGGAAAAAAAAAACCCACAAGCCTTTAACATCAAGCTTCACTACTACGAAAAGAAAATATTTTACATTAAAATTTCTGGAATGTTTACTGTCTCCTTCAATAAGCCAAAGGAGGGTATGGAGCAACAAGTTAAGATGTAGGTAGGCAATTCACCTGAGTCCACAAAGGCTTTTACTGGGTGTCCATTGACTTTGCAGTTGATGTACAGCATCACCACCTGGCCAAAACTCTCAGGAGCCTCCTCCATTGCTATTGTCATATTTTCTTCAATATTTTGTTGCCTAAAAGGAGAATAATGGCAAAGGAAAAAAAAAAAAAAAAAAAAAAGACGGACATTACTCTTTCCAGCAAACCAGTAATTTAATGAGCATCCTTCTGATTTGCAGACAGCTCTGGTAATCCCACCTACTACAGTCCATCAAGTTACAAACGACTTGTTTAAACCACAGACTTGTTCATTAGCTACACATAGCTTTAGCAGAGGAATTGCTAGCAGTGATTGTCTTAATCCAGAGATACCAGGTCATTTCCCAGGAGGGACAAACACCATCCCTTCCAGGGCCTCACAAGTCACACTACAGCATTCAGCACTCAAGACACTTGCACCTCCCAGACTTCTGCTTGTCATCAGAGGGCTGGCCAGGAGAACGGGTGGGAGAAACACCGCATGCTTGTTAGTCACTCTAAAATAAAGCAGCGAGTGCACATGAAGATGTTGCCAGTAGCTACAACGCTGGAATCCCACACAGCAGCTGAGCGTTAATCTTCCAGCGCATCCCTGGCATCTTGTCTTTTGCAGGCATGAGGATAGAAGGCGATCAGCAAATCTGCACAGAGGACATGATGATCACAAGCCCTCGCTGCAAATGCCAGCCTACAGGAAACACACTTGAGAACCCTGTTGCTGGCCTTGCAGTAATCTTGAGAGTGATGGGATCAGCAGTGACTGCATCTGAAATAGCTCATCTATCCAGAAAAAAAGGCTTTTAGCTCTAAAGCAATTTCGACTTCCCCCTCAGTAGGTGACAGGAACTAAACTCTTCTCTTGCCTTTATGCAGGCTGGAGTCACCTTCCCAGAACGAGACAGGTAGATAGGGTTTCTTTGGGGCTAAGAGGGCAGGCTTCAAATACAACAAAAATCAAGCAGTATCAGAGACCTGGTTTTCTTGGGAACTAAAGCACCTTGCTTTGCTGCTACTAGTCCACTCTGCCTTCAGGTACTCATGAAACAACTTGAAGAATCACACATTATACTGTCTCTTAATATTTATGCTTAAATAGGATCTACTACAGTGGTGGCTCTTCAGTTTAAGCCTTCTTGTTAAAAGTATTATCCCCTTTTTCTCTCTCTGCTTGACATTGATTCCACTACAAAACATGTAAAAATTGAAACATGTCTTGGAAAGGCTGTGTGTGAAATCTGGGGACTGTAGGATGCCCAAACTGTTCTATCGCAGCAGCACAACCTCCAGTGCCTCATCTTCATTCCTCCCAATTCTCCATCTCTGAGAGAAGGAAAGTGCTCCTGCACCTCTGAGTTTTGCTATCTCTAAATAGCAGTGCAGAAAAATAATGCATAAATAGTAATCATTTATCTTGCAGCAACACCCTGTCAGTCATAATGCAAAAATTCACTTATCACAAATGAATTTTGGTCATGACCAACTAGAAGTCCATACAAGACAGACCCTTCTGTATCAGGAAAAACACACCAGCCACTCTCTGACTCAAGGATTTATCAGTCCATTTAAGAAGTCAAGGCTCAGCCCAGTGCAATTACATTTGTAAGACAGAAAGGAAGAACAAACGTCAACAAGCAGAACATCATTTCTCTAGAATGACTCTCTTGACAGCAGTGAGGTTCAGAGCCTGGAATTAGCCAGCAGTACAAAAACCACAGTTAACAAGCGAGAAAGGATACCACATTGCTGTGCAAAGAACTGGGTTAAGAGACCTGCGAGGGCCCAGTTCTCAGCTTTAAGAGATGTCCAAGGCACCTAAGCACCATCTCTCAAGAACATCTTTGCTAAGCACTTTCTGTCTGTGCTCTTCACAGACTTCAGTGTGGCCCAGCAGCCTCCAGGCAGCACTGCTGCAGCTCATGCTCTGTGCAGGATTTATCTACAAGGATGGAATGTGCCTGTAGATTCCCATCTCCAAACTTCCCACAGGCAAAGGTAGCCCTAGATACCTCCCCATAAGCAAATAGCTGTCTTAAGACAACTTCTAAATACATTTTCTTGTGTGCTTCAGGGAAAAAGCACCAGGCTGCCATGGAAGTTCCCTGTGAAAAGAATTCCCTAAGGACCTCCAGAGCCTGTGTGTGACTTTGACTTGTTACCTTATGTCTTCTTCTATCTTGGCCTGCGCCTCAAGATCGAAAGGGTCAGCTGAGTAGAGTCGAATCCTCTCTTGCTCCCGCCGGGCTCGGTCCTGCTGTTGCTCCACCAACACCCTGGTGAACTTTTCTGCCAGTAACAAAGAGATACAGAAATGGTTTTTACTGGAAATTACTCTTTAATTCAACTCCTGGCATACCAAGCTTTTTGTTGTTTGTTTTTTAATGCCAGTACACGCTCAGGGATAGAATGAGCAACAGTTGCAAAAAGCCTCCTCTGAAGGCAGTATGGATGGACCCCAAAGGACTGGTTACAAACTTGGGAGCCTGAGAAGACGAATGAAAAACTGCATGGAACTATTTCTCCTTTCCCCGACACCCATAGTGACACTGAGTGCATTTCCTTGCACGTATGGTTTTCAAATAAAAGGAAAACTGAAAACATGAAGGCATCACTCTCTACAAAAAGTTGCTATTAAACCCCCAGTTTGTTATTCTCCTGCAGCACACATTGCCTGCA